CCCCCCCCCCCCCCTCGCGCCGGGCCCATGCTAACCGTTCTTCCCGGCCTCGCTCCCTCTTTTCCTCCCCTTCCATCCTAGTCACCTTCCTGATCTACTTGATCTTTTCGCTGGCCTCCTCGGCATGTCTGCCATCAACCAGCATGTACGATGCGGTGTGCTTCCCCTTCGGGGCGGCCTTGTCGGTGGCCAAGTTCCTGATCAGCGCCTTTGTCCTGGTGTACCTCTTCGCCACGTACAATTGGCTTGGCCGGCTGATCGCCGCATCACTGCCCACAAGCGGGCGCGGTGGCTCGGCATCCGGCTTCACCGACAACATGCGGTCCATCGGTCGGAAGCGGCGCCTGATCAAGTGCGTGAGCCCCTTCCCTCTGCCTCTCTTGTCCTCTCCTGCTCGTCCATCCCCCCTCTCCCCCTTGCTTTATCCTTTCCCACCGGCTGACCACGATCCTGCACCCTTTCGGCCCTGGTCTTTCCGGCTCCCCACTCTCTTCACCTATCCCCAGTGAGCTCATCTCCGTGTCGGTTGTGCATTTGATTTTGCCGATCTTCATCACCGTCTGTCGAATTGGCCTGGTTCCCTGGTTCGCCGGCCATGCCATTGAAGTGGTGCAAGAGCTGCTCTTCTTTGGTGTGACGCTTTTCGTGCGTTTCTCTTCCTCCCCTTGCCCCTCGACCGTGCGCGATTGCCCCGGGTGGGCGCCTGGCTAACCCTCCTCCTTGGTAGATCCTTTTTGCCTTCCGCCCCGCCCGGCGATCTCTCTTCCTGACGTACAGCCAGACGGAGACCAGTCGGCGTGTACGGGAAATGTCGGCGGCCCTTCGGTCCGAGGATGGCTCGGGCGATGGTGCTGATGAACGCCAGCCGCGCCTGACGCCGGAGCAAATCCACGCCAGTGCGGTGGCTGCGGTGGCTGCGCTGGAGCAACAGCGCCAGGCAACCGCGCCAGCGCCACCCGGGGCCGCCTCTGAGGCTCCCCCCTCCGGGCCGAGTGTCGACCATGCCGCTGAAGATGCGGCGGATGACATTGCCGGCGCGGAGGCTGACACTATCTTGGCCCATGGGCTGCGCCAGCTGCTGGGCGAATCTGCCGCCGAAATGCCCGGCCCCGCCCCGACCGAGCCGATGGCCACAAGCCCCACCGCTGCCATGGATCTGGTGTTCGCCGGTGGTTCGGACGCCGGGCGGCCGCAGCTCCAGCCGTATGGTGCGTCTTCAGTCTCCTGCCCTTCGTCACCTGCCCGGCCATTGCCGCCCCCCGCCGTCCCGCCCGCTCCCTGACACGACGAGGCAGAGCTCTCAAGTGACTCGGCATCGACGTCCTTCTCATCGAGTCACACCCTGCTCTCGGACACCTAGTCATCCAGGGCCGGCATCCTTGTCGCATGCGGCATCGCCTCCTGCACGAGGGGGGAAGAAGGGGGAGAGTGCGCGGTCTTGCACAGTGCAGTGGCCTCGCGCGGCTCGTCCCCTGGCTCCCCCCCCCCCCGACCACCACCACTACCACCGAGAAAGGACCACCCCTGCC